CCCTAAAGAAAGTGCAACACTTCCCATTTCGTCGATTAGAAATTAAGAACCACTGCTCTATACAAAATTGATTTATCAATTTGTGATTTAGCCTAGAAGTATGCTCCAAAATTTTTGTATATAATTAAATTTTCTTTTGTTATTATTTTAAAAGTTAGTACATTATTGAAACTTAAGTTTAGACAGTACAGTACAGTAAAGAAAATATAGTACTTATTATTTAATAACCATCTTTATTGGGGAAACCGATGCTGTAAGAATTCAATGAATTTTTGGTGAAAATCTAGTTAAAACCAACGGTTCTTGCTGTACATTCTTAAGCATACTTAACCCTCGCTTTACCAACCAAATAAATAAATAAATAACTATCAATTTGAATGTAAAATCTTGTTATAGCTTAAAATTTTGATGGTATTTGCTGTTAATTGATTTATATGACGGAAATATTACACGTGAAATAATGTCTTACCGTTTTTGTTTGAAATAAAATACATATTTGACTGATGTGATTATCTTTCCAAACGCTTACTTGTGCTCTACATGAGCAAATGTAAGCGTTTGAGATAAAAGATAAAAGAGCATAACCAAATGCTGTTCAAGCAATACTTTCTTATGTGCCACATAAATCATCATCCCAATGGCATCATAGTCAGTAGAGACGTTCCTTTAAAATCGATCCCTCTCCTTATAATATGTATATATCGACACCTAATATCTCCTAAAAAAAAACAACGCCTTCCACGTGCAGCAAAATTTGTCGATCACACCCAAATGGGATCATGTTCAGTAGAGCTGTCCCTCTAAAAAACATTGGTCGATCCCTTTCTTCGTATTATGAATATATCGACACCTAATATCTCCTGGGAAAAAAAACGCCTTCCATGTGCAGCAAAAATTGTCCTATCTTAATTGAGATTAGGATATAGCAATGTGTCTAACAATTACTTGCCACTCATAAATATACTAAATCTCAATGTGTGCCCTAACTGCAACTTTATAGTTTTGATGACGCCTACCTGTTTTCAGATTCAAATGCAAACACTAAATTGAGTCCAATCGAACTTTGAACCTGCTCCATTGAAGTAGCTGGGTTTCTTCACCTTTACTAAAGTTGACTTCAATTGAAGTCCTCACTTCATTCTCACTGTTAAACAATCCTATTCTCTCGCTACCATCATCTAGTCTCATCCTAACCGTACACGTATTTGTAATTCCTTTCATGTAATCTACTAAATATGTTATATCTCCATGGATTTAGAACAACAACATTGACGGTATTATAACTAATAAGACTGTATTTATTGCTTATAGTACCGTCTCTGTTGTTGTTGTAAATTCGTAAAGATCTATCGATCAGATTACATACTAGGAATTACAAATACGTATACATGGGTTAGTATGATGTTAGATGACGGTACTATGTGTTAGATGAAGCGAGAGGAGATTATTGTTTAACAGTAAGGGTAGAGTAGTGCGAACTTAATACTTATAACATTTGAAGAATTTTGTCATCTTATCCTATAGTAAGTAAGTAAGTAAGTAAGAGTTTATTAATTTATCGCTATTACAGATATGCTTTTATAATACAATGATCCTAACAAAGAGTACATAAAATAGATAGATAGATTAATTAGATTATTTAAGACAATAACTATAAAGTTGCCTGTCTTACCTGTCTTACCTTACCTTACCTTACCTTACCTTATCTTATCTTATCTTATCTTATCTTATCTTATCTTATCTTATCTTATCTTATCTTATCTTATCTTATCTTATCTATCTATCTTATCTATCTATTTATCTTATCTACTTATCTTATCTATCTAATCTTATCTTATCTTATCTTATCTTATCTTATCTTATCTTATCTTATCTTATCTTATCTTATCTTATCTTATCTTATCTTATCTTATCTTATCTTATCTTATCTATCTTATCTTATCTTATCTTATCTTATCTTATCTTATCTTATCTTATCTTATCTTATCTTATCTTATCTTATCTTATCTTATCTTATCTTATCTTATCTAATCTTATCTTATCTTATCTTATCTTATCTTATCTTATCTTATCTTATCTTATCTTATCTTATCTTATCTTATCTTATCTTATCTTATCTTATCTTATCTTATATATTATTTGTTATATTATTTGTTACATTCAAAATAGAGTTACAATCAATTTAATTAAAATTGTTTTAAAATTATTATTGATATTAATATTCTTTTTTATTTTTAGTTAAAGATTTAAAATGAGTTTCCATAGCCGAAGTTCAAGCGAAATAGAAGTAATTCAATATCGCGATGTACTGCCAGTATTCATCAAAGACTTTTTTATGGACTTTAATTTTGCGGATGTCAAACACAAATTTAAGATAAAGAATTTATTTACAGAAAGTGACTTTATATCACTAACTGAAGACTTACGGGTACTATAAATATAATAAAACTATATTTTGTTAAGTTTTAATTGATAATTTTCCTGTCATTTATATAGAAATCACCCAAACAACAAATTCTACAGCTTTTTCACATATTATGTTCAAATGAAAATCTTATACCAGATTTTTTGGATTTGATCGAATACGAATACAAATGGCTTGTTGACAAGATTAAATATGAACGTAACACACCAAGTAAAGAGACCTCTCATTATATTGACGTTAGCAAATCACTGCGCAGCAGATACCAAAATCACACTGAGTTTAATGTACTTCGCATAGAACCAGTAAGTATATTAATCAGCAAATATTATATTTAATTAAACAAATTTTTAATAAATTTTATATTGACTTTCTAGTATACAAAATTACGAAATGCGTTAAGACAACTGCAACCACACCATAAAGTTGTATTGGTTGGAGAGTATGGTTTGGGTAAAAAGTGGCTGGCCCTTGATGTTTGTTACGAATATACCGTGCTTCAATCAATGAATTTCAAAATCTTTAGATTTGATGTTAGCAAGTGCAATAGTCCTGAGGAAGATCTAAGAGTCTTACAGGAGTTTTATATAGTTCTAGAAAATACCAATTATGTAAAAAGTTACGATAGCATCTCTAATCATATATTGGATCTGCAACAACGAATTAGACAAAAATTAACAAGAAATGAGTATAAAAACTGTTTAATCATTCTGGAAAATGTGCAAAACGCTAAATCATATCAAGCATTCAATTTAGGCTGTAAAATGTTGATAATAACACGTTATAATGCAGTGAGTGATTCACTTTCATCTAAAATGAATAGAATAATTGATATGGAAAGAAGATTAACACAGAATGAGTTCTTTTGCTTGTTTGAGAAATATCTTAATCGCAATCGTCGAGAGTTTCCATCAAATGCAACAGATATATATGAACACTGTAAATGTCATCCGTACTTACTGAGCATAGTTGCAAAAAATATGCGACAAAAATATTTTGATTGGGCGTACTGGATACGTAAGTTAAAATGCAATGGGTAAGTAGTATGGAATTGGATTAAGTAAATTATTTTATAAATGATTTTATTTATATTTTCTTTATAGATTTTCTTCTGAACTTACAGCAGTAAAATGGTCTTTCGATGTATTGTCTGAACAAAATTTGAATTTATATGAAACGTTTTTAATCTTTCAGCAAAAAACATCTATTCCAATTAAGGTATTCCAATTTTATTTTATTTTTTTACATAAATAATTACATTATATATTCTATATATAATCAATTTTAGTTACTAGCCGCTCTTTGGGATAAAACTGAAACTGAGTCCGAAGACATAATCCAAACATTCCATAAGTTCTCTCTTGTCCATAAGGAAGGAAAAGAAATCACTATACCATATATTTACAATTTATATTTAAAGCAAAATGTAAAAGACTTAAATGAATTGGACTTACATAGAAAAATCATCGATTATTATGAGTAATTATTTAAAACAAAATCACTACTAAATTATTAGTATAGCTTTCTTTTTTTTTAGGGTTGATAAAATTTTGAATCGCAATGATATCGACTTCTGTGATATAAAACATGACAAATATTTTTTCGAGAATATTGGTTATCATATACATGAAGCAAAACGACATGATTTATTTCAAATATATTTTGATTTTAAATTTTTGGAACAAATTATAAGAACCGTTGACTTAGCATATACTATCGCACTTTTGAAATGTTACGAAAATGAAATCATAAGTAAGATTTTTTAATATTTATATCTAATATTATTTTTTTTTTTTTTATTAGCAAAATATGTATTTATAAAGTTCACACTAATTATAGTTATAACGTTTTCAATTGCCAAATCTAGATTTACTCTCAATCAGACACTTTTTGTTTTAATTTTGTACCCTATTCTGTAACATATTTAGGGTACTGTCATTATTTGACAACTACATTGGGTAGTCAGTATTACTCAAATTAAAAAAGTAATTTAAACCATATAAAATTAATTCATTCAATGTTTTTTTTATATTTATTATTAAATTTGATATCTTATCAATACAAAAAAATACGTATTTCCAGCAGTTTTCATCTGTCCATAAGTTTACCTTGTCAGATTTAAAAAACTTCAAAAAAAAAGGCTTTTTAATCAAATAAAAATTAGAATAAAAAGAATAAAAAAAATATAATAAAGAATATTTGTTAAAACATGTGTTCACAAAACCCCAAATATAATTTTCGTAATTTTTGCTAGCGCCATAGTAACTGTTACTTGCTCCCAGACGCCGGCGAAAAGAGGCGTGTGGTTAACCACTCGTTTGGATCCCATAGTAATATAATGATGAAAAGACGAAATAATGGTGACGAGAAAAGGAGAGCAGTCTTTCAAATAAATATCAAACTATTCTCATTTACTTAAACTTGTGTTATTCTACTATTTATTACAGATATTTCATCATAAAATTTGAAGTTAGAACTTACCTGGTACTTAATGGGTTAAATACAAAATAAAACGTTTATAATATAAAAAACTAGGCAGTTATATAAAAAGTGTGTTATGCAGACAGTCAAATTACAATTCTCAATACTGTTACTGCTATTTTGATAGCATTATGGTAGACAATCAAGCTATTTTTAAGTACTTGAGTTCAGTTCAATTAACGTCTACATTTATTTTCTTCTACCAACGAGACGTTAACACAATTCAATATGTTATATATTATAATATATATATTTTTTTCTTCGTATTCTCGATTGCAGAGATATAGGTGACAATAGCAAGACAGAAGAGCTGGCTAGACGAAGAGCCTCAGGTATTCATTCCGAACATGGTTTTAACAATTTTGGGTATATGTCAACTTTTTTTTTTATGACATAAACGCAGTACCTGAAATATTTAAAGCGTGAAATGTGTTTCAACTGTCATATAACATAAACAACACGAGAAAAGAGTCAGAATATTTTCGAGATATGCCTGTCTTAATAAGCGTCTAAAATCCAGTAAGCCCCACCTAATACTACAACACTTGCTACTAAGTTTTGCTTGCGACATTTAACCGAAAGAGTAAATCTATTACCAATGAAGTTAGTACGTATAGATTCAGCTGCCCTCACCAATTGAGATTAGCCCCTTCAACGGCGGTATATTGGTGGCTGTGGTTAAAACTCAAAGTTACGCAGGTAGAATGACTGTATTCATTTACTTTTATTCAATGTGGAGTAGCATTTTCCAACCGGGTACTCTGACCCAAAAAACAGTAGATCTAAATTATATCTAAACGTATAGCTACAATTCGTACCGGCAAAATACCTTGGAATTTCAATAGGAATGTTTATCGGTGTATTAATCTGTTATATGTCTTAAGAGTACCATGGTGTTAACCCTTAACGGCAAGTAATCATGTTAGAAAACTATGAACTCTGCATTTAAGAGTAATTTTGTTACTCTGACAAAATATCTAATATATCTATATAAACTCTATATCTATACGAGTTTTAATAATCGAAAACTTAAATTGTACTAAAAAAGAATCTCGAGTGAAACCTTACCATAGATTTAGTTATTGAAAACGCTTATAATTATAAAATACTTATAGAAAGTTAAATTTTATAGTAATAATTTGTTATATGTCCTTACATCCATTTTTATTGAAACAATTGTTTTATTCCAAAATTTTAGATTTAGATAATCGTAAAGAACAACTTCTACACGAATTATATGCTTTTTTGCCAAAAATTGAAGAGAGATTAACTGCTTCAGCTTATACTTGCCTTCTTCAATATGCATTAATGGCAAACGGTGCAATACGTGAAAGTGCGTTGAGGCAAGTGGAGTTATATCCAAATCGTACTTGGTTCACAGAAAAGTATGTATTTATAATGAAAATAGAAATGAACTTAAATTTTTATTTGAATAAATAATATTTCAGCGGCTTTTTCCATCAACAACGACAGATTGTCAATTTGCCAAATGAGGCAAAAATGGTGCATATACTAAAGCATTATGAGCCAGATATATGTATTGTCGTTTGCGAGAACAATATCCTGCTATTAGATGTTTCTCTGGAATGTTTAACTGGTCCTATATCTTTGACTAATGATGACAACAACCATTCGCCAATAATTGAAGCGCGCTTATTTCGTAAAGATGAATTTCTGCTTACACTCAATAGAAATGGTGAATTGTTATTGTGGTCCATTGCAGACGACCGTCGCCGGGCTTTTCGTAGGCCTAGCACCAAGCAAAAGGTTTATAGTTAACACATATATTATAAATTTAAACTAATAGGAATATCATTTTATAACCACTTATATTTTAGATTAATCCAATAAAATGTAAGCAAATCACTAGGCAGAGGAATTTGTGCAAACAAAACATACGTGATATACCAATTTATATAAATGGCAAGATTGTTGCATTTGACGTTGAAGTTGGTGCAAGTACCGATAATATCAATTTGCATGTCGCTTGTGATAGTGGTGATATATATTTTTTTAAATGGAATGCTTATGACAAAGAATTTGAATATGGTAAACGTCCCATACTGCGAACCAATATTCGAGATATTCGTTCGTTTTGTATATTAAAAAAATACTATATGCTGCTTAATGCTTCAAATAAAATTAGTTTCTGGAATCTTAAAGATAGTTCAAATGAAGATGAACCATTTTATTGGCCGGTACAAGACACGAAACTTGTATGCTACCAAATTTATCAAGACGATGGTTATAGCAACATAATTTTTGTATTTGAGAACAAGATTCTATTATTGAGCTTTAAGAATGAACACAATTTCTTACTTAAGAATGCGATGCTTAATGAAATTTATACGTACAACGAATACAACAGCTATATTACCTGTGCCAAAATTTCACCCGATAATAAATATTTAGTTTTGGGTACAAAACGTGGCCTTATTGTCTTAAATATAACTTTCCAATTAGAAAGGTTTGAAAGCAATATAAGCGAAATTATTCCATGTGAAATGTTTCGAAGAAATGTTAGCGAAACTATCTCATGTGTTGATATCTACGCGTCAAATGATCGTATATATAAATACGTCATTATTTGTGGCTCAAAGAATAAGAATGCTTTAAATCTTTTCGCCTTACGTCAAAATTTAAAAGGTTCACTTGAATGGGATCACGTAGATACACATGATAATAGCGATCAATATAATACACTACAGTTGGAAGCAGATGTATATTTAAGAGGCCGCAGATTATTTGATATTACCAACGAGGATGGCACAGTTCTTTTGGCTGTTGATTCAAAGAACAGAGTAAGTTATTTAAGTGTATGATTTAAGGTATAATTTTTTTATTTATTTATTTGTGAATTAATACTAACACTAATTTGAAATTTGATTACCTCGGTAACAGTGTCACAGCAACAGTGCAAAGATACTTGGTACTTGTTTACCGAGTTCATTACTTCAGATTGTGAATGCCACTTATTCTATTTTTGTTTTCCTTTTCTTCTAAAGCACTATTAAACAGTATGTTATGCAGAGTCATTTTATTATTGCAACGTATTATATATACGAAAAACTTACTAATAAGCAATCTTAATATCTCAATTCAGGAGTTGAAAGAAGCAACTGTGTACTGTGTTTACCAAAATGAAACATACGGATTTGGATTGTATTACAGACTAAATTTATTTGAAGAGGTTAGAATATTCTCGCGTTAGGCATGCCTGTCGTAAGAGACGACTAAAATCCCGGTGCCACGCCGACACTTGTATAAGAAGTGTACATGGTAGTAAGTGATCCGCTTGCGACATTTGACCAGAGATGGATATATCTGGTAACTCTGGGGTCAGCGGCCCGCAGCTTCGGCTGTGCTGACCACTTGTGGTTGCACTCGAGAGGATTGTTGTTAAAACCCAAAGTCACGCTGGTAGAATAATTCAAGTATTAGTTTATCATTCATTCGGCGTGGAGTGCGTATTCATCACCAGTTGCTGTGACTCAAAGATCAGCAGAGCTTTAAATGGGCCTCGCATCAAACCGTAATGAACATCGTAATGTTAAGCCTCCATAGCATAGAACCTTATGTTAAATAACATATAGATCTAGATGTAGACTAAATTTATTATAAGCTAACAGAAGCTTACAAACTAAACATTTTGTGCAATATAACTTTCTTTGTCTAAGCTACAATACTATAAATATATATATTATTTATATATATAACATTATGTATATACAAGCTCATAAACCATAAAATAAATAAAATTTCTGCTATTTACTTTTTATAAGATCTGCGATGGTTTTGTTTTTTCTTGTAAAGTGTTATGGAGCCCTTTTTGAGCATACAATTTAAGAGAGCATTAAATGTGGCAATTGGTCTTGATCACGCTAGATTGCTAGCTAGGCGTATTAATGTCCAACTCAGTTAGATTCCTGTGCACAGGGACATCTAGTATAGCCCTGCATTTTTATTTTATTTTAAAAAATCTCTCTTAGGGTTATATTATGTAGAGTATATAGGCTCGTTATGAGCAAAATTGTTATTGTTTTCAATGCAAATTATAAAATTGAGAATGAGAGAAAAAACAATATGTCATGACAGCCAAAGCTATCTATCAGTAATAAATCTCAACATTTGTGTGTTATAGAAGCAAATTATTACAATTTCTGTGACACTCTGCATAACATGAATTTTCGTCAAAGTGACAATTTTTGACAATTTTTTTTTTAAAATATAATAGATATATTATATATAAAAATACGATTTATATTAATTTAAAAATATTAATAGGTACATCAAATACCAACAAGTTCCACAAAAAATTGGTCGGTTATATTACCTTCTATATCATCGTATTCGATCACAGCTATAACTGCTGTAAAGCAAAAGATTTTCATTGGTCATGAAAATGGTGCTATACAAGATTTATCCAGCGAAACGTATGAAACTATCTTCAATCAAGCGGTATCGTATTTACAATTAGTGACTGAAAATATACTCGTTGCATCGTCAGTAAAGGAAGACAAAACTTACGTCAAATGTTTACTTTCGGAAATTGTAAAGTATCTCGACAGTGATACGAAAATCAGTTTTATGATATTAGAACGATTTTTACTGCTTGTACATAAAAACGGTGTTATAACGGTAGGTTTTTTATTTGTTCAATATTTATTCTAATTAATTAACATTTTTTATATTTATTAGATATTGGACGCTGCCAATGATTTTATTCCTATTTCATTCCAGGGCATTTGCTATTTAGACGATGTATATACATTCGAATCGGGTCCTATATATTTAAATGGTTATGATTGCATAAATAATTTTTTGTTTTTGGCAATAACTAATAATATTTATGTAAGTATGAAATAAACAATAATTTTCTATAACTTTAATCTTTATGTCAACACGCGCACAGAATACTTGAGAATAAGGTACTGATTCGAGCCTAATGTATCTTAAGTTTTAGGTGATATCTTGACTACCTTCAAATATTCAATAGCTTACTTAAATATAGTTTTGTATACGTTTTCTACGATTTTCTTATAGTGTATTATAGTATAGTAGTAAATATACTTCATGTATTATGAAATTATATATATTGTCTATACTGAACAAAGCCTTTTGTCATATTTCTGGTAGTAGCATGATTTCACTCTCCTAAAATGTTTGTTCTTTCTTAGCCAAAAACTGATCCCATTAATTTGAAGCAAAACTTTTACCGTCTGACACATTTTGTACAGATCTAATTAAATTATAATTAGAACGTTCCAGATCACTAAAATATATTGGGTGTGGCAGTATATGTCATCTACTATTTAAAAGCGTTTAGTGAGTTACCAAACATGTATGGCGCCTCAAATTATATTGGTAGAACACTACATTTTTTTTATTGTTTAATATTGATCAATTCTATTTATGTGAATCATTCAGTTTGTTCAGCTGATAACTGTATAAGAATTGAAATTTCAAAACGGATGGCATTAGCTTTTTTAATGTATATAGTCTTCTCAAGTATACTTCACCAGTTTAACTTTATTGTTTTATAGTCTCTTATGCCTAACATTACTACAGATGACCCATTTCATGACTCAAGTGAAGAAGCGTTTCAAGTATGGATCATTTTCTTAATGTTTTTCATTTCTAGTAATGATAATCTCATTTTAAAAATTATCAAAAATGGAAAAATAGTTTTTTTTTTGAAATTTTAAAAGCAAATTTACAAAAAATTACAAATTTATTTAAAAATATGTGAAACCTTTATCTTGAATTTTAAGATTAAACCAAGTCATTTTAAATTATCATGAGGAATTATATACAAACAATTTAATCTCTCAACGATCTAATGTCTCTAATGTTAACTCCAAGTGATCTTTCAAAACCTGGTGCATCTTCAACATTAAAATTGCGGGATTGAAATTTTGCAAACCAGTTTCGTTCTATCAAAACATCTTTTACATACCCATAGGAAAATTTTGTTGTTTTTTCAACTGCATTATTAACTTTTCAATAGTACACAAGAAAAATTTGACAAAAATCTTGCTTCTTACTTTCCATCTTACTTTCCATAGCCCACCAATTAACAACTACTGTGTGAAATCAATTGATATTTTTCATAAACAAGCTTTGCTATCTATCTATTGAGGATATAAAATAATATTGGGGCTTAAGTGTGAAGCTGTCTGTTGAGAAAAAACAAAATTACTTTTCGAAAGGTCTAATATCATATTCCAAAAACTAGTCAAAATAAAGTTTTGGGTACAAAGCCACAAGTAATTGTTGAAATTACCACTTCGACCAGCACCTCTACAGTTGGATATATATTAGACTTACTTCTCTCAGTAACACCCAAACACAGCTGAAGGTGTGTAACATACAACAACTTTTTTTAACTCTTTCATGTTGTTAGGGGTCTTATAAGAGCACACTGGGGGTCGTCTGTTGGGTGTACGTTATATTCTAAGTGTTTATGCGTTGACATAAAGGTTAAATAAATAATTTAAATAAGAAATAAAGAAACAATATATACAAATATTTTATTTTATATTTATATTTCATATTTTTAGCTTTTTTAGCCGCAATTAAAGTTTTATTAAAAACCAAATATAGATCCATGTGCGATCATATTCAGCACAATTGTGCGCAGATTTTAGATAAAGGTTGAAAAGGTAAAAAAGCCAAAACCATTGTGTTCATTTAAATGTATATTGTGTAACATTTACCTTCAGTTGCAGTAATTGCAAAGTTTTTACATATCCCAACTTACACTCACTCCATAAAAATAGTTTCACCTGGAACTTCTTCACAAATTGCCTTTTAAATGTTTTTATATAGAAGCACGAAATTATAAATTCTAAAATTGCAAATTTTATGTAATTTTACTAAAAATATTAACAAATCAGCAATACTACAACTTCACATTGAAGTAATTAGCAAAAAAATTAACAACGGCTTATATATGTTATATATTAGAAATAATTGATTTTCAAATTGGCCCATTTCAATAATATATAGTAAATGTACTTAATCTAACTTTCTGTATTCAATGTTATTTAAACTTAACGCACTTTAATTAGTTTTCTTTATTTATTATTAATTAGGGTGTCTCATATAAGAACTGCGATTATATCTGGGCATGAACAAAATAACAGATACACATATGAACTACAGCTTGACGGGTAGAACGAGATAAACTCTTTCTAGATAAAAGCTTTATAAAAACTGTAATATATCTTAATACCCATACTTATGACGTTTTCGATTGGTAAATCTGGTTTCAAAACAGATTTACTCTAGATCTGTCAAACTGTGTTCTCCAATCGAACATTTTTAGGATATTTTAGGATACCCTGTTAATTTCAGTGTAATCTTGCTACTCTGTTAAAATATCTAGTGTATTAGAAATCAATCTTGAGTGTTATACATATTGCCCTTTTTACCAATAGAAAATGAAAATTGCACTAAAAGTGCATTAAAAGAGCATTTCGATTGAAAAAGTTACTCTAGATTTACCAATCGAAGAGCCATTATAAAGAACTTATAAAGAAACATTAAGGAATTTCAATGCCACCAATTAATATTAAAGAAGCAATTACTATTATTAATGCAAAAAAAAATCAATTTAATAATGGATTTAATGCAAAGAAATATTAACTTGTAGCTACTTTACTTTCACTAAAATTTAGTTGAACCCAGCAGGTGTTAAGAAACGCATTTCCTATCCATTATGTTCTCAAAGATGTGTGTAAAGAATATCTTTGTAAAGCCGATATAAAATGATCTATGTTGATACATTGTAGTATCCGTTTGCAGTACTTATTAAATTAATTTATCTTTACTCCATCGGTCCAGAAATACTTATCTTCAGTATCTATCAAATGCCGATAATCAAACCAATTTTTCGCACCTCATAGGTATCGGTAATTTTGTTCATGCGTAAATATGTAAATTTTTGATCTTGGTATATCTGTATAGTAGTAATTCACCGTATCTAATATATGTTATTTTAATATATCTTTAGTTTTTGTATATAATTTTATTACGTGTTTTGTGAAATTTGGAAAGTTATTTCGTATGAAAATCCTTCAACGGTTCCAATTGCTGTATATAATATCAAACGCACCATGCTATGTATCAAACGTCAGACTACACCAGTGTTTAAAGACTATCAATATAAAACCAGAAATATATAGATATTAATGTAAACTGTTGGTAGTCACTCGACTATCCTACCCCAATTATTTCAAGAACTGTCTTAAGAACTTTAATGATTAATCAGCTTAGGACAGATATACCTTGCTTTAACATTCAGCAGAACTTGATATTACTCTCTAATCAATAAATTTTAGTATTATTCTATCAATGTTGTGACAATGTACTTCTAAATATTCCTTAAAGAGAGATACTCAAATAAATGGCGTTAAACAAAAAACCATTTGTAATAATTGTAGAGAAAAAGGACTGTTAATATTTCCTGCAATGGATTATTGCAAATAGTTGACTTATTCTCAATTTCTTTACACTCGTCCTTTCTGCTTTCTATTTATTTTCTTTTAATCTCAGCTATCAGGAGTGTATGTGACCTACGTTGACTGAATTGGATTTGCTTTTGGATCTTAACATATTTAGCCATTCAGTTCAGTAGCTTGAACTCAAGTCTTTAGACATGTTTAGCGTATTAACATTGAATATTGCAATTGATGTTTCCTCGAAGGTGAACAGATCAGCTATAGAAAAATCTAAAAAAAATTAGTTCAAAAACACTACCTTGTGGAACGCTAGAGTAAATTTTTTACAATCTTGATATTTCCCTAATTACCTTAAATTGCAAAGAGATAGTCGCTTAATTATATATGACTTTTATTCATTATCACTTCCATTAGAGCAATACATTTTGTATTTCTATAGTAGCCCATCATGTTAGATATTTTGACATTATCTCTTAAATGAAGCAATACATTTTGGACTTATATTGTAAGTCCATAGAGCAATACATTTTGGATTTACATAGTAGCCCATTAAGTTAGAATTTTTTCAAAACTTCTGTAGAATACCGAGGAATGTACATATTCAATATGCCTTCATTTGTTTCATATAATGTGTGTTTCTATAGACTCCATCGATTTGTTTAATAGGTCTGTCTTGTTCTTTAAAGGTAAAGATGTTTCGGTGCGAATCAAATAGAGGTTTAAAAATTGTAGTAAAACTATGTTATGATATTAATTTTACAATATATTAAAAAGTATATATGTATATTAGCAATAACTTTCCAAATATTAATATACATTAGCTTATTTTAATTGTGTGATTAAGAATAAAATGAATAGAAATTTAATAAATTTTTGAAATATTATATGAAATATATCTTTGCAGCTCTATAATTTTCACATTATGAATGGTAATTTGGAATATAATTTTCATCAGATACTAAGAAGAGATTCAAGTTTTGATGGTAAAGTAAATTGTCTGGTTACTTCAAAAGATACTAACTTCATAGCTCTTGGTCTGAACACTGGTGACATTGAGGTAATATTAATATATTTTAAATATTTCGAATAATTTATGGATAACAAATGGATTTCATATATCCACAGGTATATAAAGTAACCAATAACAAAACATATGAACTTCTTTCTAAACTTGAAACGCATAAAAATTGTATTTATGATATGAAGTTCTCGCCGTATGGAGATATGCTCGTCAGTTGCTCCGAACAACTCTGCTTTTGGAGCATTAAACATATTATTAACAATCCGTTAATGAAAACGCAAAAAAGGCGTAGCTCTCGTTTCACATCCCAACGCAGTTCCGATGTTGAGGAAGTTGATGCCATGAGACTGGATCTTTTCAAACGCGAATTAACAGCAAGCCCTTGGGCAAATAAACAAGGTAGCTCGGATAAACCAGAATTATTGGCTTGCATCAGATTTAGTGGTAAAAAGGCTAATAAATTATTTACAAATGCAGATTTTACAGAATTTCAAACTATCGACGATGAAGGTGTTTATTATCATTTGAAGTTATCAGACATTTGTGAAACTGTTCAAACATCGATTAGAAATGATTATAATTACAATTTTGAAAGGTTAAACTCTGGTGTTTTTTCGTGACATATAAGTCGTAAAAATAACTCCAACAATTTACAATTTTTTTCATATATATTTTTTATGATCTACTATTTTCTGTTCTATATTTGTTTGTTCCATTGTGCTTACATTTAACCATTACCCTTAGGTATTCATATTATAGATAAATAGTGTTTTTTTAGAGATAACCGAAATATTCACCAATAACAATTACACCTACGAGAAAAATGTATAATTGACTCAGAATGCAGAAAAATTATCATAAAAGTAGATGTATATGCAAGTATTTTTTCCTGATTTTGGTTTGTTGAATACCTTAAAAGTATGTTCTATTTTAATAATATATTTTTGTCTTCTTATATATTTAAAAACTGCCTCTTTTGTCCAAATTTATTCTTTTTTTTTATATTTACTATTAAGGGCTTTTTCAAAAAAGTTCTTAATATCAAAAAACAATCAAAATTATTTACTAATTATTGTATATATATATAAATATATATGTAAATTATACATATATATTAAAAGTTATTCAATCAATCACAATCATAAAATATATATAATATAAAATTATGAATTGTATATAATATACCATATATTACAAAATTATCCATTAAGAAATATCTTGTCAGATTCTTCACTGAAAACCCTTCAAGAATTGTGCTCAGTTTGGCAGTTTAAAATATACTGAATAATACTTCAAAAGAAGACGTAATAAAATTTAGTATTTAACTTTAAGTAAAACATATACAGGATGATTAAAATCTCATGCCATTAAACATAAACACACTGGATTGATTCCTCAGATTAAAACTGTTTTTTATAACATTTTTTATACAGCTTAGTATAGTTCTAAATTTAAATTCTGGGATGATATTGCAGCGGTCTTTCTGCAATTAATATGCCTAACCACAGACTTGTCTACGCACATATACACATGCACAGTTCATGTACATAAATTTTCAACATCCAAAATTTATTTGGTGTGATCTTAAGCATGCTTATTAGCGTATTTAGGACTATTGAACCCAAATACATTGGATCAGTACCACAAATCAAAACTAATTTTTAGAACAATTTCCGCCTCTCTTAAATAAAAAAAAATCTCATTATATAGATATACCGTAAAGATTTAAATCTTATAGTAAATATACTAACAATTTACAAGATAATCATGTTGGAAGATTAAAACCACCTTTTAGTGAATTTGGTCTCAGCTGTAAAGAAAAAGAAAAAAGTACTTACTCACTAGGAACTCATTTTCTAGATAATCTTAGTCAGTAGTGAGACTTCTCGTTGAAGATCACCTTGCTTTAATTAAAGGCCCAGAGGTTCTAAATTTTTTTGTTTTTTAATGTGCAAAACAATGACCCAATAGCCCTAAACCAACGAGTAACATAAAGTAACTTTGCGTTATTGAAAGTAACTTTGCGTTTTTGGAAGTAACTTTGAATTATATACCTAATCGCATATTTGTTTATACACACATAAACATGCACAATTCATGTACATAAATTTTCGACATCCTAAATTTATTTGGTGTGAACTTAAGCATGCTTAATCGTAAAAGACAATCCATTGATATCAGGCAATATTTAATTTTTTGTAATAAAATCAAGACCATATCTTTCAAAAATTAATTTTATTTACTTAATAGGTAATTAACTCATAAAATTGATCAATTAATATGTTAGTAAAATATATAAGGTGATATCGTAATATTGTATTGTAATTCTAATACGTAAATTTGAAATTCTAAAAAATAACTATTGATTAATTAATTAAATTAAGTTAAATTAAATAAAAATAAGACTTCCATAATTTAATAAGTTTATTATTTGCTTAAGTATATCAATTTGTATGTGTGTAAAATATTTTTATAATAATTTTAAATAATTCTTATTAAGGTATAATTCATTAATAGGTAAATGTTATACTATGTTTAGACACAATCTTAATTTCATAAAAATCTTAATTTCAACTTCGTTTCAGCAAAATGAAGTTTCAGTTTTAAGGTTAGAACAAAATTAAGAAAAATGGCATTAATTTCGTTGAAACGAAGACTGAAATTAAGGGGCATTATAAATTTACCTAGATACAAATGGTGTTTGGAGCATGTAATTTTCAACATTCGATTTGTAAACGAAAAACATATGATTTCCTTTATTTGGGGCAGTGTGAACACTTTCGAAATTAACTTAACGAAATTAAGGAAACTTAAAATTTACGAAATTAAGAAAATTTGGCTGTCTGAACATTGTATTATATTATTAAATATGATAAAACCTTTAATATATTTTCTATTTCGCAATATTTATAACGATCTTTTATATATATATATATATATATATTCATTGATAGATTCATTGAAACACTCACAATATCTAAAAAAGCATTTTTTTTTAAATATATATGCATATATATATAAATCTAGAAATTTACATTTGTTATATTTTTTATTTCGTAAGTTTTTTTTTTGTTTTGTGACTCAACCTTATATTATAACTAAACATAAATGTCATTCCCTAAAAGTAAACAATTCTTTTCAGATTCATTGAAACACTAATAATATTAAAAAACAAACATTTTTTAAAAATTCGTTCGTGATTAATTCATATAATTATCTTGAATGTTATAAAAAATAATAATTCAAAGTATTATTAATTTCATTTCAAAACAATATATACAAATAGTAACCCCACCGATAGAATAATTTTTGTAGATGCATAATCTGTTCCATTTTATAGTTTTCCAAAAATAATAAACATTTTAAAACAAATCCATATATTTCACAAAATAATTACTTTTATATTTATACAAACACTCAATGGCTTAAATTTATTTCTTATATTGGACTCGTATAATCCAGATTAAACCTTTTGCCTCAATAGACCTAAGTGAATCCTTAAGATCGGCGTTATTTGTTGTTCTAATATGCACTTCACACTATGCGAGTTAATGTTCATTAACTTATCAACATAAAGTTATTGCTGTTGTATATTTGTTTGTTGTTTTTAAACTCTCTTGCAACCTTCTAGTGTAAAAAGGAAAGAAAATGCGTCTCACATTTTACTCAAAATTTATTCAATTGTCTCTGCGAATAATGCGAATAATGTTCACTTATATTTTTAAGTGCACTTGCTCTGAGAGCAAATATGTGAATGCAAACCTTTTCTGTGAGAGTCGTTAAGTTTGTGGTGTAAAGCACATGTTGCCTGGACTTTTAAAATAAATTCAAAACTTATATGAATCATTTAAAATTCTCAAGTGAAGAGACCATTAAAAGTAAAATTAGAAAAGTTGAGACCATTTTACTTTTGTTAAAGTTTTTTCTATGTGAGTTTTAGTAACAGAATCAGAAACATCTACAAGCTTCTATTAGAAAAAAATTAAAAATAACTTAATAGATTATTAACATTATTAACTCAACAATACGTTTACACTGTCATAAGTAACTCAACAATAAATGCAACAATCAGTATAATTTTTCATATGAAATCCATGCAAAAATGTGCTAATAGTGTTCGATAATTGTAAGTGTGAGCATTAGAAGAATTGTGTTTAAATTAATTTTTTTTTCTTATCTGTTATCAATACATATAATTACAACATTTATTTAATATTATTAATATCTTTATTAAAAAGTATTTTAAATAACAAATGCATTTAAGAACAAAAAGCCACATATGTATAGGTATTAAATTAAAGAATTCTAATCTATAGATATTATTAAAATGTATAACTGTAAAAATTATTATAATTTTTAAAAATTAAAAATATATTTTATTTTGATAAATTAAAATTATGTGCCAATTTGTGCTAAAAGAGATTATATATTTTTTTAAAATTATAATTAAAATAAATTATGTAAACTTAGAAATATTTGTACTTTTAAATATTGTGTAAACAAATTTTAATAAAATTTTATTAAATAAATTATTATCTCAAATTTGAGAAACAATAATATGTCTTGTATTTTAGAGTTATATCCTTAAGTAATGCTTTCATATTTTTAATTTTTATTATTTTATTCCATTGAAATTCCTTAGTAAACTGGTACTTGTTTAACTAGTAGAGACGTAAAAATAAAAACACCAAGGTAATAGATAATAGCATATTCACACTGTCTCATTTATGCGGTTTTGCTCATTCTAACCACTAATAAGATGATTGACCACACAAAGATCTTTTATATAAATAAGCTCATTATTTAGACCTTTATGTTTATGTTATGTAGAACTATTAACACTTCCACATGAAGGCATCTATTTATTGCCCATTGTAATTGAGATCTTTAATCATTTGGTAACTTCAATTTTTATTTATTGAAGAGAATAATGCTAAAAGAGGCATGTATCAACACTTCTACTCGGAGACCATTTATTGACCATTCAATTTATATTTATTGAATAGATCAACGCAAAAAAGAGACATGCATCAACACTTCTACACGGAGCCATTTATTTATTTCCATTGTGATTCAAGCTTTTATTGATATGTTGATCTGACTTAATATATATATATTAAAGAGATCAATGAAAAAAGGGACATATAGCAACACTTCTATTTGTAAACATATATTTATTGATTATTGTAACATTGTAACTTTTTTTTTAGTAGCAGATTTTCATGGAACAGCTTTGTAGAAAATCTTGGTGAGAACACAAGTGCAGCGCAAATAAATAATTCAAAAATTTAAATTCAAACTAAAACAGCTGATTTACACATCACACAAATTTTACTTGAAATAAAATGTACGAGTGAAGTATGTGTAACATTTTCAAATTTCGACAGAGATGTTACGCGCTCTCAGATGCTCTCATTTACTCGAAAATTTACTATTGGAACGCACTTGGGTATACATACTGTTACTCATAGTTACTACGAGTAGCTCGTGGAACAGACATATTATTTTAAATAAGTTTTTTTGACTATTTTCAGAATATAATGTTAACCAGTATCAATTTTTATTTGACACTCTTTTTTTCGAAAATGGAAACCTGCTTTTTTTACATTGACTGCATTAATTATGATATAAACCCTTTTCACTTCACTCACGTCTGCAATCATTGGCCAACTTTGCTTAAATATATATATTCAAACATTCAGTGTATATATATATGTATATATTTGGTAAAGTTTATCAGTAATTTTTATAGTGTTGGCTTTTGGTGATGTTGGCTGGCGCTTTGACTTTTGTCACTTCAATTATTGAGAATGTATGTAAATATATATATATGTGTATATTGAATGAATAATGTTTATTATTATAATTATTAATATAAATAATTGAAGTAACAAAGGTCAAAG